TAAAATTACATTCGGTTACGATTCGATTAAAAATAAAACAAATATTGGCTCTTGCGTATATTCTTCGAAATCTGCGCTCTCGTTACATTGTGAGCTCCACACTATTTACTCACTATCATGTATATTATTCCACGACTATCAATTTCGAGTTATTTATAACGATTCGTTAAATAATGTGCTCCTGCCATCATGCGCCATGGCGCCTTCTTACTAATAGTAAGATTATATAGCATTGAAAACAAAGAGCAAGAAGGAAGAAAGATAAAAAAGAAAGAAGGAAAAATTTCCATATGAACGTTGTATAAAAGAAAAAGAAAGATAGGAAGAGAATAGATAACATGCGGTGCATCGTATATATAAAAATAAGAAATGCATAACGGACACGCAACGGCGGAGGAGCGAAACTGCTCGAACATTTTAAAGCGCAATAGCATTGATGTACGTTCCATATCGAGCGACCGGCTACGCCACGTGCTGGCGCGTGTTCAAACAAAGAAAAGAGACAAGGTCTTTATTATGATGCACCTAAAGAAAGACTTCTTTATAAGGACCGGAGAAGTACGGGTTAGTCTTTTCTTGTTGAGTGTTCACGCTTCCAACCCGTTTTCATACCTATATCTTGTTCTTTTCTAAAATTGTTTTAGATCTTTCTTTGGAATTATCTAAAAAGAAAAGATCTGATGTTGAAAAAAAATAGGGATTTTAAAGCGTAAGTTGGTAATCTTCTAAGATTGTTAAATGAAGTTTGAAAAATGATCGAAAGAACAGATAAATGATCTCATTAATTACATTTGAAGTCGGTTATATTGGTAGAAAAATAATTTATCAAGATCATTTCAAAGTTAAAAAAGCTTGATAAGCAATATTATGTTAGAAGACGTAGTAAGAAATATATGTACGTATGGTTCTTAAAACATAATTGCATCCTGTTATACCCTTTTGTAACCTTGGGCGGTTTGAAGGTCACTGTACTCACAATCAGACTCGTTAAGTTTCTTCCATATCTATGCACTAAGAATGCTCCAACAAAAGCGCAACTTTTTCATTTAAAATACTCAAATAATAATAATTGTTTTTAAAATAATCTTGAAAGAAAAAGATTTCTACCAATATCCAAATACTGAGAAAAAAATGTGAATAAAATTACTATTTTTTATTATCTTCTCTTCTAAAGAAAAAAAGTACTTGAAGCGAGATAATTTTTATTCTTCTTCAATGATCATTATCCAAAAATAATAATGAAAAATATGCATAAAAAGAAAAAAAAAAAAAAGAAATAGTATCAACAACATTAAAATTCAATTCAAAAGTCTCAAAATAAAATTTATCGTCGTTCATTAATATGAATGAAGAATGCATAATTGTAATCATCTCGTTTCCATAATGTATTGCAAAAAACACACACACATATAGTCGCGTATGTAGAAACAAAAATAAGAATTTTTGTTTTGATGCACCAGAACAAGATGTTTCTGCTTTATAAGAATGAAAGAATGATAACCTCTTATTTGAATTTAGACACCAGACTTCTGCGGTTTTAATCCTTTTTTTTCTTCTTCAATCCTTCTTCGTCGCGTCCTTTTCTTCGTTTACGTTCCCTCTCTCTCTTTCTTTCCGTCCCACTTGCTCTCTTTTTTTTCCAGCTTGAGTCAATCGAAACAATGATTCGTCGTGGCCTTGCAATAACGGTACTACTTCACTTTTCAGGTTTATGGCAGCGCGCAGAATTAGCAGTCTGTGTGACACAACTGGTGGACACGCTTCCTGCTGTATTATTTCTGACGCATGAGAGTAACTCTAAAGACCATAAAAAGGAAAAGAATGCGACGTAATTAAAAATGAATTGTTCCTTAAAATTTCATAGATTTTACTTTCTGCAATTTTTAATTTTAATATGGTAATTCGTTTATATTTGAAAAAATCCTTAATCAATCTTGAAAATAAAATAATCTAATACATTATGTAAAAAATTAATTGATACAAGAAACATTTCATAATTTTTTAATGTATCGAGCAAATAATTGATTTAAATTAATTAAACCTGATGTATAATTGCTCTAGATAAAAAATCCATATGTTGTACATGTATATTATTTTCATCCATAAATGTGTAAAATTTATTAATTTATTATCAATACACATATATTCTTAAAACAACGAATTGGCGTTTAAGAATAATTAAAAATTTATTTATTTCTCAAGATATATTGAAATATTTGTTCCACATATTTTTTTATCTTTTAAATTAAATTAGAAAATTCAGGAACTTTGAGAAATTTAAAAAAATATATATATACTAATAACACGCTAGAAACAGCACAAGGAAAATGATGAAAAATCTGAGATTTTTTGCAGAATAATTATCCATCATAAATTTAAAACGTAGTTTCATATTTAAATGAGCAAACTTCTTTGTAATTGAATAACACAATAATTGTTTGAAATGTAAAGAATATTAAATACATACAAAAAAATATACATACGTATAATAATATTATTATAATAGCTTGAATTGTTATATTAATTTATATAGATTGAACATCCGAAATGAAAAATTAATAAAAGATCTTAAGATATAATCTTCAAGATGTTTCTCAGGTAAAATTAAAAAATTTCTCATGCTTATTCGAGCATCCTTGAATACAACGACCATACGGAACATCTGTATAGAATGGTGGCGCGCGGTTCGATGGCCGCGGACTATGAATCCGCAGAAAGACCGCAAGAAAGAAGTTTCCCGACGAATTGTTAGGAACAAAGAGATGGAACATTCGAGTCAATACACGACCCAAGGTCATTGCTACCCGTCGCCGACGCATCCTCGGAATTTCCGATTTTCTTGTCATCCTTTTTTTCCCCATGCCAGTGCAGACAGCGCGCGCGCCCACCTCGCCATGAATAAGACACGAAGAATCCAGTGAAAGCCCGTTCCTACCTGCAATAGATGCTTTGTTTCTTCACCAGGCGTTGGTGTATGACGCGTATGATATACCTGTTCCAGACAAAGCATACAGTGGGAATACACGTGTAACAGATGTCGCTCATGGTATCCTTTGGTATACGGTCTACTTTCAAAAATTCAATTGCATAGTAAAGAACTTGTGTGAAATTTGCGAAACGTACATATGTTTTCAATTGTGTGAATATTGTTGTTAGCATTATCTCACGCGATGTTTACTAATAAAATTTATTTTTAAAAATAAATACTATCTTATTTTGATACTAAAGATAAAAGAAAAAATTGTATAAAGATGAACCATGGAACCGTTTTGTATAACTTTCTCGATCTTTTCGAAGTATGTAAGTCGTATATTATTCGGCAGAATGATAAAATAATTGATCGTATACTTTTGATACTGAATCGAAAAAAAAATATTGACATTAAAATTTCAAAACATTCACAGTCATTAGATAAAACAAAGGAATCGTTTAATATCTTGGACGTTTATAAAAAAATTGACGTAATATTATGAAGTTAATACGATAGAATTAGTTGTTAAATTAGTCCTTTTAAGAAATATAGATCAGTAAACGGTATCCTATAAAGATTAGATTAAATATTAATTAAAATTATATTTCCTAATTATTATACATGAAATTATTGAATATCTTATCAATTTTTTCTAAAAATATGAAAATTCTTTCTGTGGGTAAATAATCTCAATTTCATGTTTTTATATGATTAAACCTGATGAGATAATTATTATATTAATTATTCAATGAGTTCGCAAACTTTCAATTCGATGTAAATAAGAAATAACAGATAGAATCAACGACATTCAATGAATAGCTCTAATATCACGTTATCGCATAATTTTCCCATGGGAAATTTATTCGGTGCGGAAGGTAACGAGGTTACAGGAGAAATTTTGTTAAGGTTCGTGTTCTTCCCATCGATAATTTCACGTTTGCGCGACCAACCTGTCCATTTTTAACTTAATCATAACTCCATCGGTGACATTAAACCTCTCGAACGTTGAGGCGATCACGTACTTAAAATAAAAAGCAAAATGTCTTCATCGGAAATATCTGCTTAATATTACAGTAATTAAATATTAATCAATTATCTATCTTTAGATTTTACGACAAAGCGAATTAACATCGATTGAATGTCAATAATAATACAAATCTTCGTTTATCTTAATTAATTGAAATCACCAACTGAAACTGATCGTTTGGTACTCTTTCGTTAATGTTCAATTTATATTGACCACCATTCAAAATGGTACCGAATGAACTAGCCTGTCAGAATCGTAAATTGAAACGATCGTAAAGATTCATGAAGCGTCGTTAAATAACACTTATGTTAATGATCGCGCACACACATATACGTATACAACACGCACGAAATGGTTCCAATCTAGTAGAAATGTGACGATTGTCGTAATAAAAGCACGCGGAGTACATGGCTGACGGCCAATGGTACAAAAATTCTTGCTTGATTCTAATTTCATCCCGGTATCTGTGCGTAAAATCGTTCACATTCGATTTATTTATTGTTCTTGATTCTATTCAATAAGGAGATGCAGCCATCTTCGACTAAACTTCATTCAACGAAGCCAACACATACCATCATGAGGTAATCCAATACAAGCACGTGATGAGCGCGATTATCCGAGATGCTATTACAGCGAAATCACTATCGAGCAAATTAAGCTGAAACTATCGAAGCTCGCGCAGAATCATATAGCACCTGTTTCAAAAAAAAAAACTCGACTTGAATTCTATGTTTATAAACGTTTAATCAGAAATCAATCGATTTCATGCTCGACCAGTCACCCAAATTTTTCAATAAACAGATTTATTTGTTTGAAAATTTTGATACTTTTTTTAAAATGTATATATGAGTTCTACAACATAGAATAAGAATTATAAGTTACCTTAATCTTTTACTAACTCGATGTAACGAGTAAGGTTAGTATAATAAAACTGATATAAGTAGCTTAAAAAGTCCTACTAAATAAGAATTAATTTCTACTAGAGATCAAATGTATGAATTTTCGTTTTGCAATGTTTATATTAATTTCAAATGTTCAAATATTGCACAAAAAAAATCGATCTTTCATAATATGGAGAACTATTGCGTGTGAAATATATATATGTTGCACACGTGTATCATTCAATTGCATAGATCGAAAATGATCGAAATCTAATGTTTTATGACGTAAAATCACGAAACAAGCATTCTCTTGACAAAAACCATCGCTACATCGATACAGTATATCCGCAACATAATCGAGGATCTGCATTCGATCAATAATTCACATGTAAAAGAAAACGGTTCGTGATCAAATCACGTATATTTTATATATATTTAAAAAATATATCTTTAAATAGAGTTATATATAAATTCTAACATGAAATTATATAATATACATAGAATGAATCGTAATCATCGGTTTCAAATAAATATATGTATACATATGTATCTGCTTCTACGATAATATAAACATTATTTTTAACTTTATAATATTTCGAATTATATTTTTTAAGTTTTTCTATAATACATACGCGATTATTAAATTTTACGAAGTTATTTATCGTTGGCTATAGTATAAAAGCTAATTACGTGTATTCGTACATTTGATGTTGTTTTCACTTTGTTTTTATTGATAATAATCTGATTTAGATTGTATATTTTTAATAACTATTTGACGTGACGATTATAGTACTAATAAGAATAAGATTATGATTGATTCGCGCGACAAGCGAGACATCTATAATCTCAATGATGTAAAATAAAGAAGGGCGCGCTATGTTGCAGTTCGATAATACTGCACACGCGATAATCGATAATTCTTTTCAACGACTAACCCTATATGGAAAAGGGTTAAATAGATGATCAGTAAACAGTTGTGTTCGCGAGAAGGTATTCACGTGTTTGACCCACGATCGACAGAACACGCATCGTGGGTCATGCAATACAGTCACGACTCCACGCGTCATCGCGTGTATTGACAAAATGTTTTCTATTGCATATCACATGCAAGGCGGTACACGGTGATACGGCCTTAACTTGCATTATATGCAGGGGCGTAGATCGACGTCTTTCATGATAACAGATGAAAGAAAAAGAAACAAAAAGAAAAAACAATAGAGAATTGCAACGATTTGATAAACATTTATCAAGTGGACTTATACACGATATTTATGTTTTGCATTGTATGTTTATATATTGTATATAATCACAATGTGACTATGTCTCATAATATTTGTAAATTGATTTTATCCTGAAATTGTAATTTATTTTTAAATTATAAGTTTTTTTTTGTATCACTAAAAGAAAATATAATCAAGATTGTAGCTTGTATATCAGGATATTTTATATAACAAAAATATTTGAATATTGTTGTCACGTAAAAAATAAATATATTTATAGAATTAAATAGATATCGAAGTTATAATAATACATTAATATATATATATATTTTTGTGCTAATTATATTTAAAGAGATATTAAAATTTATGTCATCATTAATAAAAACTTGAAAGATGTGTGAAAACAAATAAACAATTTAAAATAAGAATTGCATATAAGATAAAAGACGCAAAAAGATCGAATGTTTATAAGATAAATCAATTCATTTATATGTATTATATGCATCATTATATTCGTATGTTATAGATCATATCTCGCAAATGGAAGATGCATAATATCACCTATGATGCAAGGAGATTAACATGAAAATGTATAAATAACATGAACGATAATAACAATATATTTATTAAATAAATATAACAAAAAAAAATTCTATATTATTCTTCAAGTTATCATATTAGAAATGATCGTGAGATCG